ATTTGAATGAAAGGAAATTCAAATGTAATGAAGAAAATTGTGACAAAAAATTCAAATCAAAAAATGGTTTAATTGTTCACAAACGCATTCATTCGGGAGAAATACCATTTGTTTGTAATTTCAATAATTGCAACAAATGTTTTCGCTCAAAATCCGATTTAAAAATTCACACAAAAAGACATCTGAATATAAAAAGCCATAAATGTATTCATAATAACTGTAATCAACGGTTTGTTACGAACGCGGAATTAAAACAACATTTAAATAACAAACATGTGGGGAAATAACAATAAAATTTACAAAAAGTAAATCAATTATTGAAACATTTAATTTTAGTATCAAAAATAGGGTAAAACTTGTATTTCTCTCAATTTATAAATAATGTTATAAAACATATACACAGAAATCAATACTTTAATCATAAAACACTTTTAAAACTAAATAAATAAAATCATTAATAAATTAATTTTCATTCAAATTCATTAAACATAAATGCTTTTCATTGACTCTCATATGACTTAAACCACAAAATATGGAGAAATAGTTGCCGACAGCGAGTGTCGGATCTGATGGCAAATCAGCTTCTTTTGGGTGACAAACTGTTGGCCGCATTCAACGCACGTAAACGGGTTGGGCATCGGCTGCGAGTGGACAGCGTATTGATGGTCAACCAATTGGCGCCGAGTATGACATTCTGTCGGACACTTATCGCATCGATGGACAGACACCCGATGCCGGTCCAGCTTATGGTCCGCCCATTGGTCTACGCTATCAAACGAGTGCTCGCATTGACCGCACGGATGCGCCCGACGGACAGCCATTTTGTGGGCAATCGCCTGATGCAGATCGAGATCATATTTCCAGACAAATACACCGCCGCAACCCTCGACATCGCATAAGTAACTATTGGTTTGACCATTGGTTTCATAACCAAAATATTTACTCGTATTTGTGATACTAATTGTGGCAAAAAATATATATCATAATTAATATGTTGTTTATTAAATGTTAAAGTATTACTAATTACTCAATTAGTAAGCGTTTTGATGTGTGGCCAGTGATCGCAGGCACCGGCACTGTATGGACGCTGGGTTTGGGCGCCGGTATAATGTCTATCACTTCGAGATCAGAGTCCATATCACTGTACATTTAAATGTAAAATAAACATAATTAATAAATATCTTAAATCAATGGCTAATAATAAACCTATTGTTTGTATCAGTGGTGGCAGTGATTGACTGCACCGGTAGGACAGTCGTGGGCTTTACGGGTCCATCACTGCTGACACCGCTCTTTCCGTATCCAAAGTGAATGTCTTGAGCCGTAATCTTCTGGACAGTTTCAGTGACCGCCGCCGTTGAGTGGACAGTTAGCCTATGCTTATCATACCGTCGTTTGCTGTGATATGTATTGGCGCAGCCGTCGCACCGATACTGTCGACCGGTGGCCGAGTGGACAGACAGTCGGTGTTTCTTCAGCTCCGGTATTGTGGCGAATGATAGGCCGCAGCCGTTGTGCGCACAGCCGTACGCTTTGCCGTCAGACGAGTGGACAATCCGGCGGTGTTTCTTGAGCTCGCGTTTCGTGGCATATGTTTTGTGGCAGTGTTTGCACTCATGGATGGCATCAGGTTTAGCACAACCGACGCCTAAACCAACGGCCCTATGACTGTCGCCGACACCACTCGTGTCGTACCTCAAGTGAACGGTTGGCGCCGTTGTCTTGTGGACAGCCCTCTGGTGTGCGATTAGTGTGTATTCAATGTAAAACTCGAGGCCACAGCCGTCGATACGGCACTTATGAGTTGCCGGCAAATCAAAGACAGTTTGACCACTAGTCCGGAGGGGGTTAGCGGTGGCCGACGAGTGACTAGTATTTGTATTAATAGTACTGTTTGTGAGAAATGAGTGGAAATTAATTTGAGTTTAAATTGAGATGTGATTTAAGCAGTACTTAAGGCACGGGTTGTTTATGAGTGAAGTTGTGGCCAATTGCTGACCACTCCGTGTCGGTGACAGTGTTTGGCCGGTATTTACCGTCGGTATTGTGTCCACGATTTCGGTGCCATTATTTGTATCGCTAGATATTGAGTGAGAAAAATAGATATAAAACAAGTTATGGCTTAAATTTAAATCAGTATAAAAACGGAAACACATACTCATCGCACATATTGTCCAGCGATTGGCTGTCGAGACTGGAAGTGGTTGAATGGGTGGCCACTGGTATGGCATTTAACTGTTGTTGGCCGTCATCTGCGGCTGTCGTCGACTGGTCTCTGGCATCGGTTGAGCTAACAATCGGTTCCCGAGGAGTGATGTCTTGTACGGCATGTCTGCGGCGTTTGTGTGCATCTAATCGGCTTTGAGTGCCAAAAGTTTTATTGCATTCACTGTAATCGCATTTCAATGACTTCTTTGACCGGAATTGTCGGCCAAAAGACTCAAAGATTGACTCATAAGTCAACGATTGGCTGAAAAGACACAACAGTTGTGACAATTGAACGCATGGTTTGTCACAATCCATACAAACCTATCACTCGATGACATCCAGAAGAATGTGACGACAACACTCACGAAGACATAAAAGTCCACTTAAACCACTAGTTGATAGCACAGATCCAAATACAATACACGCTTATTATGTGTGAATATTTGTGTTAAATTTTTGTTAAATGTTGACATTTATTGCAATAATAATGATTGTATTAATATTTATTTCTTATTATAATATAAATTCAAAATCTTATGATAAACTAAACGGCTTTGAGATTAGATTTGAAATATAGATATGTGTTGTTTAGCCATAACTAATACACCAATCACTTCATAGTTGTACAGTGTATTTGAGATAATAGATAGGGATTATAATCAGCGATGTTTTGAATTTATAGATAATAGATAATAAACTAATCGTTTTGCTATTTACATAAATAGCATTTGAAATGCTGTTAATGTTTGTCATAAAATACTTGTCTTAATCCAAGGCCTGTGTCTATGGGATACTCATATATAAAGTGGGTTTAAAATATTTTTGTTTAAAATTGCGCCAAATATTACAAATTAACTTTATTTGTTAAAATTATTTATTCAGTTTATTCAATTGTATTTATTATTTGTTTTATAAACAAAATGTGTTCAAAATTAATGAGTGTTTCGTTGATTGAAATGAAAAGTAAATTAAATACAATGAAGAGTTTGTGTGAAATAATAGACAAAATTCAGTGTATTNATTGATTGCAATTCATGTAAAATCAGTGATAAAATGCTAAACAATTGTCATATCATTACTAAATCCGATGATTATTTCCACTGTTTTTGGCCTAAATGTCAATTCAAGACAAAAGTTAAACAACAGTTAACTTCACATCAATTAATTCATTCAGAAATAAAACAATTTAAATGTGATTTTAATAAATGCCACAAAAGTTACAAACAATTTAAGCATTTAATTGAACATAAAAATAGAGTGCATTTAAATTTTAGAATTGTTTGTAAATTTAATGAATGCAACAAAAGTTTTGCATCAAAATCTGGTCTCGATTACCATGTACAATCTTTTCATTTGAAATCCAATAAAGTCTTGAACTGTTTTTGGCCTAAATGTCAATTCACTACATCAGATAAACAATGTTTAACTTCACATCAATTAATTCATTCAGAAATAAAACAATTTAAATGTGATTTTAATAATTGTGAAGAAAGTTATAAATGGAGAGCACAATTAGCTCAACACAAAAATATTGTTCATTTAAATGTGAAATTTATTTGTGATTTCAATGAATGCCACAAAAGTTTTACAACAAAACGACATTTATTTGAACACAAAAGTTGTGTTCATTTGAATGAAATGAATTAATTGATGTGAAGTTAAACATTGTTTATCTGATGTAGTGAATTGACATTTAGGCCAAAAACAGTTCAAGACTTTATTGGATTTCGAATGAAAGGAAATTCAAATGTAATGAAGAAAATTGTGGCAAAAGTTTTGGACAGAAATCAGACCTAAATCAACACAAACGCATACATTCGGGAGAAAAGCAATTTGTTTGTCATTTCAAAAATTGTATTAAAAGTTTTCACAGAAAACGTGATTTAACTGAACACATGAAAAGACATTTGAATATAAAAAGCCATAAATGTATTCATAATAACTGTAATCAAAGCTTTGTTACGAAATGGGAATTAAAACAACATTGTAATTACAAACACGACAATTAATTTTAATGTAACAAATTGTAACAAATGTTTTACATTAAAATCACAATATAGGACATTTAAAACTTGTAAAAAAATTATAAATATAATTATAATAATTGTGATAAAATGTTTGTCTCAAATTATGAATGGCTGTGACACTAAAATATAATTCACTATAATTTTTATAATTAATTGAGTTAGATTAATAATACTGTAAGCATTAATGTCAATCTAATTGTAATTCATATTTAAATCGCAAACATGTCGGCAAACAATTACAATAAATATATCGTTTGAAACAAACTAATTGTCAAAACATTTATTGAAAAACAAATCACAATATTATACAAAATATTTCCAATTTTAAAAATCAAAAGTTAATTCTTTATGTGTTATATAAATATTGTCAATATTTAATACCAATTAAAAAAGTTAATTAACAATTTTAAAGAAACAATTCATAATAAAAACAAGTATTAAGTTTTGATAAACACGTTATAATCAATGCTTTTAGTAATTATATTTACATGAGTTGTCTTAAACTCACGGCACAGGCGGCCAAAAGTCAAGCATAGGGTCCGCCCATTGGTCTACGGTATCAAACGTTTGGCCGCACGGATGCGCCCGACGGACAGCTATTGGGATCAACTTTTGGCAGATTGTCGTCCATTTCGTGACAACTGTTTTCATCACTACTTATATCTGAGAGACTATTGTGGGCAAAAATAATAATTAATTTACTGTTTATTAAATATTATTTTAAAGACATTACTCAGTTAATAACGGTTTTGATTTGTGTCCAGCGATCGGTCGCACCGGCACTGTATGGGCGGTGAATTTGGGCGCCGGCAACACATCCATCACTTTGAGACCAGAGTTAGAATCACTGGACATATGAAGTAAATACACAATCAATTAATGGCTTAAATCAATGGCTATAATATACCTGTTGTTTGGGTCAATGGTTGACTGCACCGGTAGGACAGTCGTGGGCTCTACCGGTCTATCATCGGCTACTGTAGTGGCCATAAACGAGTGGACAGTCAGCCTATGCTCGTCGAGCCTATGTTTGGTGTTATATGATTTGGTACAGCCGTCGCACCCGTACTGCTTATCGGTGGCCCAACGGCCGTACCGTCGGTGAACTTTAAGCGCCATTTTAGTGGCAAATGATTGGTCGCAGCCGTCGTGCGGACAGCCGTGCCGTTTGAATCGCTCGGCCGACCGGTGGTCGACAGTAGCCGTCGCCGAACCGCCGGCCGAGTGAACCGTTTTATTCCGCCAGTGATTCTTGAGATCGGGTTTTGTGGCAAACTTTTGCAAACATTCGCTGCACTTATAAAACGTTTTGGGTTTACGTTTACGGGGTTTACGACCGGACCGTAAACTAACAACGCTATCAATACCGCCGCCGACATCACTCGTGTCGTACCCGAAGTGAACGCCGGGAGCCGTTGTCTTGTGGACAGCCCTCTGGTGTGCGATTAGTGTGTATTCAATGGCAAACTCGAGGCCACAGCCGTCGATACGGCACACATGAGTTGGCGGCAAATCAAAGACAGTTTGGCCGGTAGTCGGCAACGGGTTATCGGCGGACGTGTGACCAGTATTTGCCTTAAAACTAATTGTCATAAATAAGTGTTAATTAAGTGACGTTTTTAATTGAGTTGTGATTCAAACAGTACTTAAGGCACGGCTTGTTGTCCGCCAATGAAGTGCTGATTATCGGCGGCAGTGTTTGGCCAATGTTTACCGTCGGTATTGTGTCCGCGATTTCCATATAAGTGTCCAAATCTCTAGATATTAAGCGAAACATTAGATAAACACTTAAACATGTGATCAAAACAACACATACTCATCGCTAATATTATCCAGCGATTGACTCCCGGGGCTAGAAGTGGTCACCAGTGGTGAGACAGATGTTGTGGTCATTGCCTGTTTTTGGCCGTCATCTGCGGCTGTCGTCGACTGGTCTCTGGCATCGGTTGAGCTAACAATCGGTTCCCGAGGAGTGATGTCTTGTACGGCATGTCTGCGGCGTTTGTGAGCATCCAATCGGCTTTGAGTGGCAAAAGTCTTATTGCATTCACTGTAATCGCATTTCCATGACTTGTTTGGCCGGAATTGTCGGACAAACGACTCGACGATTGACTCATAAGTCGTCGGAAGACTGTTTGAAAGACCCAAACATTAGTGACAATTGAATGCATGGTTTGTCACAATCCATACAAACCTATCACTCGATGACATCCAGAAGAATGTGAAGACAACACTCACGAAGACATCACTACTCGGGAACCGATTGTTAGCTCAACCGATGCCAGAGACCAGTCGACGACAGCCGCAGATGACGGCCAAAAACAGGCAATGACCACAACATCTGTATCCATACAAACCTATCACTCGATGACATCCAGAAGAATGTGAAGACAACACTCACGAAGACATCACTACTTGTGTCCACACAAACGTCTAATTCAAGTGAAAATCAAATAATAAATTATTATTCTGATTGACAATAAATAACAACTCATTATTAATGCTATAAATTAAGTCCCCTTTCAATACAAATCAATAGGAAATGTGTTTATCATTTAATTGTGTAATTTATTTCATACATTTTATTGTAACTTTTAAAACATTTTTATAACAATGACTGTACAGTTTATATAATAAATAAAACACATATAATATTAATTGTGTTATTACTGTAATTACAAGCAATATTTTTGGTATAACTTTATTTATAATAATAAAACAGACTTTAATCTATTGATGAATCCATTGATGATTAAAACAGATGTACACTAAATGTGTTTATATAATAAATACAAAATGTTATTTACATTACAAATATTAGAATAGTTAAACTAGTTATAATATAAAAATGTTTAATTAACAACTACATAATCATAAATTATACTTTTTGAAACTAAACATTAGATAACTTTAATACAGTATTAATTAAAATTAATTTCGTGTAAGATTTAACTATGATTTTCATAAATTTATTGCAAAATAATAGCCTATTATTAATAGGTATTGAACTTAAAACACATGTAGTCTTGGAATTGAGATAATTATTGATTAAATTCCGGCAAAAATAATGGGATTATAAAGTGTTTGTCCAAAGATATGGTTTGAGTGATATTGGGATGTATTGGTTGCCATACGAGTGACATATCTGTACTGCCAGTGCATGAGATGGACATAAACAGGAAGATTATAAGCCAGTGATAGAGATTATAATCAAGGTTAAGAACATGCTAACTACAAAGATAAAAATATTAGATATCCTTTTATTGGTCATTTAAAAAGCATATAAAAGCTATATTTGCAGAGTTGTTGAGTGATTTATAAGTTATTTTAGTCAAAATATTAATTTCATTTGTAGTTTATAGTTTGTTTAATTCAAACACATCTTATCATTCGTTATTGGAATACACGTTAAAATTTATAAACAATTTATTCATTTAATTTAGTGTTTAGTTGTAATTAATTTTGTTAAAAATGAGTGTTTTTAAAATGAAGAGTAAATTAAATGCAATGAAGAGTTTGTGTGAAATAATA